TCTCTCAAAAAAAAAAAAAAAAAGATCCAGCTGGCTAAGGCTGCAGGTGGATTTGGCATCAAAACTGCTGTGTTGTGGTTTCTCTCTCTCTCTCTCTCACTCATAGAATAAATAAATAAACTAGAAAAAAAAAAAGGCAAAAGCAGGTGGGAGGAGCAAGAGAGAGATGAGGTCTGTCAAAAGTGATTTGCTAAGGGAAAAGTGTTGACAAAACGAGGGATTTTTTTTTTTTTTGAGAGTTTTTTTTGCTATAGGGTACATGCACTCACCAGAGGGACAGAGAACTCACCCTCCAGGAGGGATAGCCATGCTGCAATCCCTTCTCCACCATTCTCCTCTCTGAATTTTGGACACACATGTATACACACCTGGCGTGAGTTTCAAGTCGCTGGGTCTGGGACTCAAACCCTGATCAACCACATGGAGATCCACCTTAACCACTATACCACTTGCTGGTCCCAGTAGACAAGTGGTGTTTTAATGCTTCTAAAATGTCACCTCCACCAGAGAGTAGCCCACACATTGTCCCTCAAGAATCAGAGGCATGTTCCCCCAACGTGTTCCAGAAGATCAGACTTTCTTTCTTCCACATCCACAGCCAGAGCCCCACGGCAGGAATCTTATTGAGAGTGACCCGTGGGCCTTCCTGGTCTCCCCTTCCCTTGTAGGACGACCTCTCTGTGCCCCTCATAGAGGAGGACCTGGATGGCTCCTCAGGCGTGCTGTTTCCCTTCTACGACGCGGACACCAACATGCTCTACGTGGTGGGGAAGGTCAGTCTGGTTGGGGAGGGAGGTGGCCGCCTGGACCCCTGGAACAAAAAGCAGAAATATCCCCAGCCCAGCCGTGGAGGCAGCCAGACAGCAGCTGGGGGCTGTAGTGGGTGCAGGGCAGGGGCAGGCTGGGGCCTCGGGCCCCCATGGGAGAGCACCCCTCTCCGACCTTCCCGGCTCCCTACGGAACACCAGAGCTGGCCCCTCCCACCCAGGGTCCAGGTGAGCGGGAGCCAGGTGACATTGCTCAGCAGGGCGCTCTGAGTTTGGAGTGGCAGAGGTCTTGGCTTGGTAGGCCTACTTTTATTTGCCATCCTTAGCCCCTACCCACCAATGCCAAGAACAGCAGCCTCCAGGCTTCGAGTCTTTAAGACAACTAGAAATGCCCCCCTGGGACAAGAGTTTCTGATAAGACACCGATTCTGACATCTATATGTGGCTCTCAGAGCGGAACAGGATGTGGGCCCATCTTCCCAGAGCGGTGGCAGAGGAGCAAGGACAGGCTATGGGTCTTGGAAGAGAGGACTCTGTGTTAAAACGAGAACTCCCATCTTCCGGCCTTGGTGACAGGACCCCGAATTCTCTGGTGTTCCCTGTTGTGTGTGAGGGGGGGGGAGGGGCTTGCCACCGTGCCCTCCATGAAAGCCAGGGTTTGGGTGCTTGGTAGTGGGGTCCAGGGGTGCCAATGGGGGCCAGGTCTGAGTCTCCCCCTCCTCCTAGGGAGATGGGAACATCCGCTACTATGAGGTGTGCACAGACAAGCCTTACCTGAGCTACCTGACTGAGTACCGCTCCTACAACCCGCAGAAGGGGATCGGTGAGTGGGGACGCGGAGGCCACTTGGTGCCAGGGCTTCGAGGCTGGGCCTGGGGGGATAGGCATGAATCTGATGGGACAGGAAATGGCAGGGCAACACCCCAGCTCGATGGAGGCGGGCAGCATGAAAGGGAAGTCAGGGAAGGCTTCCCAGAGGAGCAGACATTTAAGGAGCTGGAAGGAGAACCAGAGCCCACTGTGGGGAAAGCAGGACGATGTTCTAGGCCAGGGTTAAGCACTTCCAGCAATAGCAGAGCAGGGCTGGCCTGGTAGCCCAGTGGTTAAGGGACCCCCCCCCCACTCCATATACCCAACCTCAGTTGGAATGCTAGCCTGACAACTTGGAAAACACTCCAGGCACGTGTGCGTGTGTGCCCCAGATCCCAAAAGGGTGGAGGAGAAGGGATTGTGGCATGACCACATGCCACTGGGGGTGCTCTCTCCCTGTCTGTGTCTCTCCAGAACCCGTACATGCCTTCTGGAAATTAAAGAATAGCAGAACAGAGGGATGAAGGGGGGTGACCTAAAAGAACCTCAAGGAGCAATCTCCACCTACCTTTTTTGGTTGTCACTTTTAATTTACATATAATAATTATAAATTTTTATGAGTACAATGTGAGTTTTTCAGTATATGAATGCAGTGTTTAATGATCAGATTTAGATAATTTAGCACATTTATCACCTCAACTATTCATCATTGATTTGTGTGAGAACATTTAAAATCCTCTTTTGGCGACTTACATAGTATTGTTAACTGTATGAGGACTTCAAAACGTCAAAGTTTATGGAAAAGTGAGATTAAACTATGAGTATATTTTGATGCAAAAGAAGTTTGAAATCTGTGCATACTTTTCTAATGCACATTTGTGTACTTTGCTAAAGGACAAGTGTCCTCAGCAAAGAGAGACAGAGACAGAGAGAGAAAGTGAGAAAGCATCCTCCAGGGAGGATGGCCATGCTGCAATCCCTTCTCCTCCATTCTCCTCTTGGGATTTGGGGCATGTGTGCTCACATACCAGCATGTTTTTTCAAGTCACCAAGGCTGAGTCTTGAACCACACAGTCAGCCATGTAGGATCCAGTGTCTTTTTTTTTTTTTTGGAGAGATTTTCACTGTAGGGCGCGTGCACTCGCCAGACAGACAGAGAAAGACATAGAGACAGAAAGCGAGAAATCACCCCCCAGGGGAGATGGTCACGCCGCAATCCCTTCTCCTCCATTCTCGTCTCGGGATCTTGGGCACGCACGCACACGCGCCCGGCGTGAGTTTTAAGCCACCGGGTCCGGGACACGAACCGCGGTCGACTACGTGGGAGTCCAGCAACATAGCCATTATGCTAACTGCTGGTTCCCGAGGATCCAGTGTCTTAACCACCATGTCACTGGTTGGCCCGTGATGCACATTTTCATGCACTTTTTAAGGACCCTTTGTAATTACCCTACTTTGCTATGGAACGCTGGAACTTCTGCCTCTAATCAAACTGAAGGTTTCTGCCAGCTGCCAGCTCCCCTTCCCCTTCCCAGCCTCTAGTAACCGCCATTCTCTCCTCTACTTCAATGAGGAGAACTTTTTTCAGTTTTCGCATATGAATAAAATACAATTTTTCTCTTTAGGGCCAGATTTATTTCATTTAATGTCCTCCAAGTTCATCTATTTTGCCACAGGACAGAATTTCATTCTTTTTCATGGCTGAATAGTATTTCATTGTGTGTATGCCTCTCTCTCTCTCTCTCTCTCTCTTCCTCTCTAAATACACACACACACACACACACACATATATAGACACACACACACAAATTTTCAATAGTCTGTCTGTTGATAGACACTTAACCTACCTACTTTATAAGTGTGTTCGAGAATTTTAAAAGACCCAACTATATATTGTCTACAAGAAACCCATTTTAAATATAAAGACACAACTAGACTAAAAGTAAAGGGCCAGAGAAAGGTATACCATGCTAACACTAATCTAAAAAAGCTGGAGTAACTGTATTAAGAGCATTTGGGTAACAGGACCTGTGGTTAGAGGTGAGCCTGGAGTAAACTGCCTATGCAAGTCCAGCTAAGATCGCTGAACTCCATTTCCCCAGCACAGGGCCCCACCTTGGGTAGACATTTGTTCCTGAGCTGTGTGTGGAGGCAAGGATGGCGGGAGAAGGGTGGTCTCTGTTCACACTCAGACACACAGCCTGGCTTTGCCCCTGGCACTGGGTCCCTGTGGCCCTCAGCCCAGCCAGAACCTCGCGACCCTCTTTGGTCATCTGCCCGCAGGTGTCATGCCAAAGAGAGGTCTCGACGTGTCCATCTGCGAGATCTTCCGCTTCTATAAGCTGATCACAACCAAAAGCCTCATCGAGCCCGTCTCCATGATCGTGCCCCGGCGGGTAAGGCTGGGGGCGCCATCTGGGAGGGAGGTGGGAAACCTGTACTGGAGAAGACAGACCTGGGGTGTCAGGGTCCCAGGCTCTGGGGTTGCTACAGGGAGTCTGAGGACCACTCCTCCTGAGAAAAACCTTTCTTTCTTTTTTTTTTTTTTTGAGAGGTTTTTGCTATAGGGCGCGTGCGCTCACCAGACAGACAGAGAGAGACAGAGAGACAGAAAGCGAGAAATCACCTCCCAGGGGGGATGGTCACGCCGCAATCCCTTCTCCTCCATTCTCCTCTCGGGGTCTTAGGCACGCACGCACATGTGCCTGGTGTGAGTTTAAGCCACTGGGTTCGGGACTTGAACGCAGTCGACTACGTGGGAGTCCAGCGACATAGCCATTACGCTAACTGCTGGTCCCGAGAAAGGCCTTTCTCATGGCCAGTCAGCTGGGACCAGGAGTCCTGGTCCTGTCCTCCCTGTGCTCTTTAGTTGCAGTGTGACCTTGGGCAAGTCCCTCTGCCCTCTGGGCCTTGGTTTCCTCAGTTCAACAGTAGGGAGGGGAAGACTCGCCTCCTGGCTCTCGGGGCCCTCCCATCTGGGCAACCACCTTCCCACTGCCCCCTCACTGTCCGGTCTTCTCCTGCAGTCGGAATCCTACCAAGAGGACATCTACCCCCCAACGGCAGGGGCCCAGCCCTCCATGACGGCCCAGGAGTGGCTCAGTGGGATGGATAGAGGTGAGGACGGCCGAGAAAAGACGTTGGGCAAATGTGGTAGGAAAATGGGGTGCCCAGTGGCCCAGTAGCTGAGAGGGCTTTGGCCTATATTTTTGTTCTCCCATAACCTCAGGAGACAGGTCTTGGCAGTCCATCCCCTGTAGCTAGGATGGTCACATATGGGTCCAGGAAGGTGGGGGCTTAACCCAAGTGGCTCAGAAAATTCCCTCCGCCTCAAGGGATTTCGCCCACTGGAAAACGTTACGCTCTGGGCCTACACAGGATGACGGCACTGTCCCAGCTCCTGCCCCGCGCCCCCACATCTCTCTCTGCAATTACTCTTTGGCCTAAGATACCCTCTAGGGAGCAATCCCTGTTCAGGCCCTTCTGCCCACTCTGCCTGGCCTGACTCACTGTCCCTCTACTGCCCACACAGGGCCAGCCCAGTGGAAGGAGGGCAGCTGCGCTCCCCGCCCCCACCCTGCAGCTCCCTCTCCTTCCACCCTCCCACTGCCCTCACCCTGTGCCAAGCCCCCGTTTGTATAACCCTTAGGCAGGTCTCTCTCCCCCCTGGGCCTCAGTTTCCTCATCTGCTTCCAAGATGCCTGCCTCCCCTGCTTCCCGGGCGGTTGGGAGGATTGGTGAACTTGGTAGGCGGGGAGTGCAATGTGGGTGGGACTATCCTCACAGACCAAGGACATGGCTTCACTCGAGCTCACACCCCGTGCTGTCCCTCAAACCAGGCGTCACCTAGATAGCATCACACGTGGGTGTGGTATCTGCTTGCTCATCCGGCGTGTGTGCCTGTCTGCATGTACATCTGTTGCGTGTCCCTGTGTGTCTGCATGTCTCTTTGTGACTCTCTGCGATGTCCCTGAGTGCATGCCTAGGTCAGTGCCCTCCCCGACCTGTCTGCTTACGGACACTTAGTCCTCACATGGCCCTTTGTTTTCCTCTCAGGGCCAGTCCTGGTGTCCCTCAGGCCTGGCTCTGAGCTGCTAAGCCCCCGGCCACTGCCTCCAGAGAGACCCGTCTCCAACTCCGTGACACTGGCCTCGCCCTGGCCGAAGGACCAGACAGAAAAGCTAGCTGCAGAGGATGGCCAGAGGCCCTTCTCTCCGCTGGAGGAGAAGGCACCGAGATGGCCAGCGGAGCAGAGGCTGGAGGAGAAGAGATCCTGGCTCACAAATGGCTTCGACATTTTCGAATGCCCGCCACCAAAGACAGAGAACGAGGTGTGGAGGGCAGAGTGGGTTTGCACAGGGAGAGCTGGCAGCAGCGACCTGGGGAGGGGATCAGTGTCACCTTCCCACTCCCTGAGAGGAAGGGGCAAGAAGGGAGGAGGGAGAAATGAAGGGTGAGAAGTAAAAGCAGCCGTGTGGCCCAGCCTAGCTCTTAGCTCGCTTTGTTAATTCACTCCACGAACAGGCTTGAACACCATCCGTATGCCATAGTAGCAGGAGCACATACAGAGGGTGGGGAACCGTCTTTTGAAACGCAGAGGGCTCGATGTGGTGGGTGTTAGTCTCCTTTCCAGCTCTGACACTAGGACTTCCTGTGCTTTCAGAGCCGATGTTTGGTAAGGGCCTCCCACGTGCAACGCATGGGTGCGGTGGACTTTCCCAGCAGCCCGGCGTCAGCAGGAGTAGCAACACCTAAGAGCTGGCACCTCCCAGCACAATTCCAATCTTGGTTCTGCTGCAGGGCCTTGGGCCCAGGGGCTGAAGGTTTCTATAGCGATCAAGTGGGGTTACTAGCGTCACGGGGGATGTCTGGGATACCAAGCAGGACAAAAGATCTTTGGGGAAGCTCCCCATTCCTTTTTTATTTTTGTTAAGAGATTTTTGCCTTAGGATGTGGGCTCACCAGAGAGAGAGACACACACAGATAGTGAGAGGGAAAGTGAGAAATCACCCCCTGGGGGAAATGGCCACACCGCAATCCTTTTTCCTCCCAGGATCTTGGGCATGCACACATACACTCCCAGCATGAGTGTCAAGCCACTGCGTCTGGGACTTGAACCGTGGTTGACCATGTGGGAGTCTAGCAACATAACCATTACACCATCTGCTGGCCCCACACGCCCCCATTCTAATAGACATTCTGTACAATACCAACAAACAAGATTCGTTTTATGATCCCCAGTTCCCAGAAGAGGACATTGAAGTTCAGAGAGGTTAAGCAACTTGCCCAAGGACACATAATTTAGTCACAGTAAAAACATCAGTCTCTGGACTTGAGGGCCAAATATCCTTTCCTTTGTTCCAGGAGGGATCTGTGGAGGTAAAATACAACTAAAACATTCTAATATTCTTGAATTTTATTTGTTGAGTGAAGTAAACAAGGTTTTTTGTTTGTTTGGCTTTTGCCATAGGGTGTGTAAGCTCACCGGAGAGACAGAGGGAAGGGAAGTGAGAAATCATCCCAAGAGGAGATGGCCATACCGCAGGCTCTTCTCTCCATTCTCCTCTCGGGATTTTGGGCACTCACACACGCATGCCCAGTTAATTTTTTAGGCCACCAGATCTAGGACTGAGATCACATTGTCGATCATTTGGGATCCGCCTGCCTTAGCCACCATTAGCAACCACACCATCACTCCCACCTTTCCTAATCAAAAAAGGGTAGTATGTTAGCCTTTTTCTTTTGCTATTGGGTACATGTGCTAACCAGAGAGAGAGGGGAAATGAGAAATCACCCCCTTCGGGGATGGCCACACTGCAAATCCCTTCTCCTGTCAGGATTTTTGAGCATACACGCACACACTTGGGGTGTGTTTTTCAAGCCACTGGGTTCGGGACTCAAACCATGCAGTCAGCCATGTGGGATGCAGTGCTTTAACCACTAGGCCACTTGCTGGCCTGTGTTTTAGCCTTTTTACTAGTGCCCTGCCCTCTTGCCTCTCAGGACCCCCCGTGACCTTGCCCTCTAATCTCTGCTTTCCCAGCTGCTGCAGATGTTCTATCGGCAACAGGAGGAGATCCGAAGGCTCCGGGAGCTGGTGATCCAGAGAGAAGTCCAGGCCAAACAGATGGAACTGGAGATCAAAAACTTGCGGATGCACTCAGAGCAATTCTGAGCAGAGATCTCTACCCTCCCTCCCCGCCCTCAGGGACACCACGCAGCTCCGTGGGGAGGTCTGGAACCAAACCGCAGGTCTCCCAAGAACAATCACTGTTTCTATATTTTTTACCAGAAAACAAAACCCTCGGTCACTGAAAGAGATTCCAGTAGGATGTGGTGCCGTTTTTTTTCTATTTGCCTTCTTGCAACGAGCTTCTGGATGGACTTTGTTTTTAGGTGACACCTTGCCTTCTGTTGAATTCTGTTTTTAAGAGTCCATGAGGAGCTAGCACTTCTCACGGGGAAAAAACATCCTAGAAAGTTAGGAACGGGAAAGACCTCGGAGGTCAGCCTGCCTGTGATCTTCCGAGCTTGTCCATAGCGCCGGGGGGAGACCAAGGTGCAGGACGGCGTGCCCCGTGCTCCTCGCCTTCCACCCTGTTCCAGCTAGACATCTCCCTTCTGTTATGTGTCCAGCTGCTCTGGAATACATGATATTGCCACTAAAAAGAAATTCAGAAGTTGAAAGCCAGTCCTCCGGCCCCTCTCCCTCATTTTACAGGTGGGAAACTGAGGCCCAGAGAGAGGCAAGTGTGATTTGCTTCATGGCAGGGGCTGGCCTGCGCCCCTGGTCCTAGGCCTCGGGTCCTGCCTGTCTGGCCGCTGTTTCTAGTCTGACGAGGTTCTCACATAGGCAGGAGTCTGCTGGTTCTGGCCTCAGTGTGTCCCAACTTGCCCTGTGTCCTCTCGCAGATCCTTCCCTCTCTGGCCTCAACTTCTGCATCTGGACAAGAGGACACTGAGGTGATCTGCCCCATGTGGGATCTGTCACCTGAGACTTTGGCTTGAAGAAAACCACCTATGGGGTGACAACCTCATTTTGCTATGGAAATTCACCCTGGCAAAGGGTGAGAGGGATCCGGCCTAATTTTAGACTGCAGACAGATCAAAGCCATCGTCTCCAAGCAGAATCAGCCGAATGTAGACAGACACGGTTCCATAGGTGGGACCGCAGACATCCAGGTTGGGCCCATGCTCCCGACTGCCACCACCAAGGCGCTCAGGGACACAGTCTGCCTCCTCTGGGATGATGTAGGCAAATTTCAGCCCAGGTTAACAGGTAGGGAGTCCCTCGCGCTGGAGGCTCACTGTGCCAGCAGAGCCCTGTGGTCACCCACCTGTGAGGGCTTCCAGAGAGGAAGCACTGCACTCGCTGAGGAAGTAGACCAGGTGGCCTTGAAACTCCTCTCTTGGCCCCCAAGTTTCCTTGCATCCCTCCTCCATGGGCCTGTGTTCTGAGCCCTGCACTAAGGTATTTTTTTCTTGGTGGTCAGTTCAATAGCCCGAAGGAGGAAGACAAGTGCAATTCACTCCTCTTTACCAAGGAGAGGCAGACAGTTTTTCCACTGCACAGAGCAATCGGGACCTGAGGTGGGGGAGTTGCAGGAGGTCACCTAACTGGCAGGTTTCAGCCCAAAGTCTACATTAGAATCCCCTGGGGAGCATTCAGGAAATGCAGGTGCTCTGCTTGGACCAGTCGAAGCTGACTCTCCAGAGAGGGGTCCCAGACGTCTGTGTGTTTGTATAAGCTTTGCAGGGACCTCTATAATACGGCGAGGATGGAGATCCACCCTACTGGTGCCTCTGAGTCTATCTGCAGTAAAGACAAAGAGGACTGTGCGTGCCAGACAGGAGCTGGGACGTGAACCCAGACCCTCTGAAGTCCTGGCTGGTAGTTCCTAAAAAGGCAAAGACCTCTGGACCCACAGCTGCAGCATGTGGGTTCCGAGCGCCTGTTTGCCCCTCCCCTGAGCCGTGGCCATGCCGTTGGTCTGTTTGTCTGCACATGCCACATGGCGGGTTCCTGATCAAGCTCTCCATTGACTCAGTCCCCAGGGCTCACTCCCGTGGAAAGCCCCAGCCAGCCTTGCCTTAGTGTGCTCCGGATAAAGAAGCCAAATCCCAGGCACGGTCAGGGGTCAGGGAAGCAGAGCACCACCGGATGGGGATGGGGTGAGCGCTTCCCCTCGTTTGTGGCTATCACTAACAGTTTACAAGGGCCCTCCCACTTCCATTCACCGGTCCCTCCAAGGGACCCAGACCGCCCTTAAAAACAGGATGTAGGCTCTTTGAACAAACTTTCTCTCTTTCTTTTTTTTTATGTCTAGAGTAAATTATTTAAATTATTTCACACCAAGGGAGAGGGATAGGTAATTTTTATCAGATATTTTTTTAAGTCACTTTTTTAAAAATTACATTTGTGTTTATGTTCTTGAGCTGATGCCAAGGAACTCGCCCAGCCTTTGCAGGGCACAGCCAGTGAGTGGCGTGTTCTCCCATCTCCTGACTCCACACTCTGCAAGTCCCCTTTCTGTTGACTCAGGAATTTTCTGAGAATGGCGACAGCCTGGGGGATGAACTTTGGCGGGTATCCTAGCTCTGTAATAAGTAGGCTTCCTGGAATAAAACTTGAGATTGTTATCATAGAAAGAAACAGGAAGTCAGAGATCAATCTATGCTTTCAATATGAAACCGTGCCTGAAAAAGTTTGAATGATTGTTTTAATGTTTCTGAAATTCCTCCTACCTTTGTAAAAAAAAAAAAAAAAAAAGAACATATGAATAAATAAAACAATAGATGTGGAATTGTGCAATGAACAAACTAATAAACATCTGGCTACACGTTTTACTATACAGAGCTTTCCTTTTCTTGATGTGTTCTATAAATCTGTTAAGCAACTCCTGTTTGGGCCAGACACTAGGCTGGGAAACAGGACAGGCCATGGTCCTAGCCCTCTGGAGAGTTTTCAGCCATGGTTGAGGGCATGCTGAGGGCCAAGATAGGGCACGTGGGGGCTGCTCTGGGAGGAAAAGCAAGGAAGGCTTCCTGGAGGAGGTAATAGGAAAAACCCTGAAGGATAAGTAGGAGTAGACAGGGAAAGAGCATCTAGGAAGCAGAAGAGTGTTCCAAGCAGAGAAAACTCCCTCTTGTGTCCCCAATCTGGAGACTGGCAATGGGGTAGAACGCAGGGCAGGGACCAAGGCTCGCGCAGTAAGTGGGACCTGAGACTTCAGCCAAGGAGATAGGAAGACAACTTGAGCTTGACATGGGAATTCTTAAAATTGTAGGAATAGTTCCGCGAAGAGACCAAGGGACCCCGGGAAAGCAAGAAGCGCAGGTAACGCACCCCTTCCAGAAGGCCACAGCCGTCGGGGTTCCATCCGCCGGCCTGCAGTTTCCCCGGGGCTCTGGACCAGCGTCACTAGGGAGAAGCCCCCTTCTTCCATCTGCGGGTTAGAAGTGAGCCCGGGTCTTTTGCAGTGCCCATCTGCAGGCGATGGGGGCAGCACCTTGCTGGGAGGAGGCTCTGAGGTCGACCCTACTCTACGCAATGATGCTGCCAGTGCTGGCGGCAGCCCCCCCCGCCCGCCCCGCGGGGCCCCCCCCC